GATTCAAACTCACAACCTTTGGGTTACAAGTCCGACTCTCTAACCATTAGGCCAACAACAGACACTGGCAGAAAATGAAACAGACATTTTTTAGTTGTTAAAAAAAAGGTACGCTCGTTCAAAACAGTTGCGTTCGATGCTTCGCTGGCTGTGCTGATATAAATCTAGCGGGTCTGTTGTAGTGTTGGGTCGTTCTTGAACAATTCTTCATTTTGAAAGAATCTTTAATGTGACTCGGGAAGAACGAGTCGTCTCAGGGAGTGATTCGTTCAGTTGCGCATGCGCAACATCCTATAGGTTCTGTACTGGAATTAGTCAAGTAGTTCACCTGTTTCGAGTCATTCATTCATCACGTGACAGCCCCATACGTTTAACCAATGCAGTCTGAGCCAGAAAGAGAATTGATTAGTTCATCCCCCGAGTCTTCGGGTTTGAGTCGTTCGTTCATCACGTGACAGCCCCATAAGCTTAACCTATGCAGTATGAGCCGGAAAGAGACTTAATAATAATAACCAACTCTTTATTACCTTTGTTACAACATTCAGTGTTATGGAAAAGAACCATCATGACAGAAATTCACACATTTATAAACTGTAATAAGTAAAAAGCTACAATTTGAGACCAGAAACGCATCACGTAACTGTAAGAGTAAATAATAATTATAATAATGATGATAATAATAATAACTATGCACCCGTTTGTCAGGAAGCTTGTAAATGAACTAATTTCTCTATCCAATGCTGTCACATGACAAAAGAACGAATGATTCGAAAGACTCGCGAGATGAACTAATCAATTCTCTTTCCGGCTCAGACTGCATTGGTTAAAGCGTATGGGGCTGTCACGTGATGAACGAACGACTCAAACCCGAAGACTTGTCAGATAAGAGCTGAGGTGAGCTAATCATAGACTGAAGACCCAGGTAAACAATGAATTAATCTTTTCTGTTTCTTATAGCAGTTTTGTATTGTTTGTAGTGTGATCAATGTTTGCGTAAATAGTAGACGTGTTAGGGAAGTAACACGTAACATTTTAATTATATTTTGCTAAAATGAATGAAATGAATGAAATGACTCGAAAAAATATTCATTCATTTTGCTGAACGAGACTCAAAGGTCCAAGTCGGTAAAATGATCCGAACTTCCCATCACTAGTCTGTTGTGTCTCTGTGTCATAAGTTCAGTGACGCAGGTATTAACGATTCTCTCCGGCCAATCAGTGATCAGCAGAGTTTACTCGTCATGTTTTGGTGACGGTACGGTTCACTTGGAACCTCAACCGAGGTGGTACTGAAAAAAGTACCAGTACCAGGTCTGGTATTAAAAGTGCTCAGGTGGCCGAAAAGTTTTGCTCAGCAAAAGAAAAAATTATTGGGAACATTGGCCATAGGTATGAATTTTGTGTTGTCTGCAGTGTTGGGTGAAACGCGTTACTGTAATTAAATTACTTATCCACTGTAAAAGTAAAGTAAGGGATGAAAGAGAACTCAATTTGGTATTCCCCTGCTGTCTGAGAGACGGCTTTCTGTGTGTGCGTGCACAGAAACGATCTATCACAGCGCACAACTGTCGACTTATTAGCAGTAGGACTAATCAGACTTCCCCCTAGAGGATGGCTAAAGATTTGCTAGCTTGTATTCATAGTTACTTGAGTGTATGCCTCTAAATTAACAGGTTCTCACACTCCACAGGTTGAAAACCCCTGTTCTAGTGAACTAGAAACCATGGCCACTACAAGTTATGTCTACTATAAGTTACTCCCCCTACAAAGAAACTTTTCTGCTACTGCATTTAAGTGCATAACTGAATATTTCACTAATAGCAGTTATTTCATACTTGATGAGAAATGACAGTAATATGATCTTATAAACATAATAAATAAATAAAACATCAAATAAATATATCATATACTTGAAAAGATCATTTCAATGGTTGCATCAATGACGTCCACAAGCCATATTTCCTTTGCGGAAGGCGTAACTTGTAGTGGTCATGGTTTGTAATACTTTGGGATGCGGATAGACTCAAATAATAAAATGAAAAATAGAAATAGAATAGGTAAATAGAATTAACTTTTAAAACTAAAGAGAACATCACATATATTGTTATTGATGTCAAAGCCTGTACATCCAACCCAACTTTATGTTTTTTGTACAAATTCCTCGGTTTTAGCTTAAATCTTCTCTCACTTGGTTCTTTAAATATTTGTTAAAAGTTAAATTAGACCGATTCAAACATGGGCAGATGATAACATAACAGTTCCCAACATACCCTCTACCTCAAAATTATCAAAGCTACAAAAGAGTAAAAGATACAACTCAAACTACAATAAATTGTTTGTGTCAACCATAATGTGTTTTGTGTGATTAATTAAAGCGAACCAGGTGTGTTGTGAATAATCTGTCCAACCTGATTGCAAAACATTGTTGATTTGAATCACGGCCAGTCAGAAGATATTTAATCTTTAATATATGCGGTGGAGAATTTTGAACCAGTAAGATTGCAATTTTTCTGTGGGCTGGAATATGTAGTGCAAAGGTTGCAATTAACAAAATGTCCCGTCACTTGTTGCGGGACTCAAAATTTACATTCTTGTTGCTTTATCGCATTGCAAAAATTTTTCAATTTAAAGACCCTTTTTGAACAAGTTGAAGCAAAACCAGTTGAGAAGCACTGATCTAGATCAATCCACTAATCAACCAGAAAAGCAAAGTAAATTGCTCTCACACCCTCAAGCAGTATGGATGTAGCAAGCTGCTTCTATTCACTACTGCGAAAGACGTGGGGAACGAAAAAAAAAAAGACAGGACTGAAAAGGACAGCATGAAGAATGACACAGTGAAAAGGGGAAAAGAAAAACAACTGCTTAGTGCAAGATTGATTCCCACACTAGTCTATCCCTGTGTTTAAGCTGAGACTGAAGGACTGAAATCATGTCAGGAAATCCCAAAGGGGGAAACAGCGTGAAAAGGTGACGTGACCAAGTGAGGAAAACAGGTTTGCAATCAGAATGGAGTATCTGTCCGCATCGAGAAGCATGCAGCATATGGAGCAAACAGTGCCAGGAAGTTTGTCATTCATCTTTCTGTGTGTTAGGATGCGATACGATTTTGCAGCCAGAAGATAGTAGAGCAAAGCAAACAAGAGGGTTCTCCTCTCTTCCGAGAGGCCCGATTAGAGTAGGAAACCCTCTAGGGGCAGAAACAGACAGTGAGCGTGTCGAGCAGGTCAGTCACAGGAAGCAAGAGGCAGGCGGCAGGAAGTCGTCTCAGTACCTTGTCACTATGGCTATGCTCCTCATTAAGTGTGGTGCTACTGCACGTGTCAACCCCTGAATCTTTGACCTGCGGCTCGCACCACTCAGCGTCTTCGTCATGGGAGCGCTCCCAAAATCGCACCACTGTCTTTTGCCTCTCAGATGGGGCGTAAATGGCGTCCAAAAAATGTGCCTGCTCATTTGTTTTTCTTTTTCCCCTTTGAATGTTGCCTAAAAGTTATGTATGATATAAAAAAGGAGGAGAAACAAAACATGCAGAGGTGAATTAAACGAGGGGAAATGGGGTGAGAGGGTTACAAGCCTCACCATAGACATTGAGGAGGCCTCGCTATGCCAAGACGCATGGTCCCACCAGTGACCATCCATATCTCCTGAGGACAGCACAGTGAGAGGACACACACGCACGCACTCGTGTCAACAAGATTTACTTTATATAGGCAAATACGCAACATTCATTTACTCACACACTTTCTCTTACATCTCTTTTAAAGGAGTAGTTCAACAAAAATGAAAATGCTGTCATCATTTGCTCACCCTCATGTCGTTGCACAACCGTATAATTTTCTTTCTTCAGTAAAACACAAAAGGAGATATTTTAAAGAATGTACTAGCCATTGTGTTCCATGCAATTACATTGAATGGGGACTGAAACTTGCAAGTTTCAAAAAGGATGTTCAAGATAGAAAATGCAATGCCTGATTCATGAATGGATCGTTCTTCTGAGTCAGATCTTTTTTAAAAATCAGTTGATCTGGTTCACAAAGATAATCACAATTCATGATCTGGTGGCAGTGGTTAAGAACATTAATTAAAACTTGGGTCTGTTGCTTATACAAAGCTTTCAAATGACTTGAAACATTGTCATAAGGACAACTTTTCTTATACTTTTATGGTGCTTTTGTGAAATTTTCAGTCTCCATTCATTGTAATTTCATAGAAAAATGTACCAGTGTATTCTTGTGTAAAAAAATATATATATATATATATATATATATATTTTTTTTTCTCCACAGAAGAAAGTCAGTCATACAGATTGGTGACTAAAGCATAAGGGTGACTAAACAATGACAGAATTGTCATTTTTGGGTCAATTATCCCTTTAAATTAACACATATAACAATTGATATCACTTTTCTTTAATATACACTTACCTATTCACAAAGGAAATGGAATGAAAGAACAAATACAGATATTTTAAAGTTGCATAGTGTTACATAAAAACCAGCATGAACTACAACACAACCAAAACTATAAGACAAACCCTGTTTTCCAACAATTTGACAAAAAGAAAAAGAAAAAAAACACAAATATCAGCTTCTTAGCTCAACATCAGACAGTACATTTTCCACTAAAGCAAATCACCTGAGTGACATGCATCTAAACAGCACTATTTCTGTAGACAGATAATCTTTCTGTAAGGAAATCTTTATCTGGTTGGAGACACAGAGACATTAAAATCTAGTGCTTAAATGATATTTAAAAGGCATCTTTTTTCTGTTTGATATTGCTCCATGCTGTTGCATAATGCACAAAATACCATAAAATGCATCCTATTTTTCTGCTGTTTTATATGGGATATTTAACATGTACATATATTATGCATATTTTCTGTTATGTATACATTAACTACTATATTCTCATTAACAATACTATATTCTAAGAAAAATCCTGAAATGTTAAGCTACTTACAGTATAGCAAGGAATAGTTTAAGGCAAAAAAACTGTAAAAACACAAAGGCCAGAAAGATAGGTGTTCATCATCAATAAGAAAACCTTTAACATATAAACTGGTATGTTATAACATTAGTTAAAACAGAAAAAAAACAATAGTTTACATTCTCTATTCGCAAGCCAAGCATAGTGATCTCACTCTATAATTGAGATTCAGCCAACTGATGGTGAGAAAGCAATCGTTTCCATTAAAGTTCCAGTAAAGTTTCCCAAATCATGCTAACACAAACTTTTCAATTGTGTTAGCAAGACTAATACATTTTACGACATTTCTTCTCTTGTCTTGAAATTGGTTACATGGGTTAGCAAGCAGATGGGTTTGCAATGGAGCAATACTGTACTGACACTTTCTTAGCCGTTCAAAACAAAGCACACGGTCCAGTTTCAAGGTTTAAGTAAACCATCATCATAAGATTCGCTTGATATGTGCAAAATAAACTGGACTGGATTTAAGTACACCATCGTCATAAGATTCACTTCATATGTGCAAAATAATAGTTATTTACATGTGCCTGTATCATCAGTACAGTAGGAACAGTATATTTGATTAAGAAACCAAGCTGTAGTTTAAAGATGAAAAAGATGGGTATTATGCATCCATAACTTTTACAGCCATATTCAGTGCAGTATCACAAAGGCACTATAATAAATGGATATAAGAAACTGTATCCTAGCGTACAGCATGGAAACTTTAATATTGCAGAAGTCTGAAAACTGCTGCCAACATTGCATTATCCTGTCCCCAATTTCCCTTCCAGCATGCGGTGATATCGGTATGCCACCATGAAAAAAATTTGTGTTGTAAAAGCTTACTTCTGTCGACATTACTTCTGCCTTAACATACACCATGCGTCACAAACCAGAAGCATTTTCCATTCATCCAAGCATGTGTAGACCGTCCCCAGTGTCTTCAGGAAAAAATTATCTGTTCTGTGTAGTCCCAATATATTGTTGATAATCCGTCTTTGCTGCACCACCCTTTCCAAACCTTGGCAAGTTAAAGTTCTGCAAAGCTGATTTACTCGACTACGTCCACCAGGAAAATGACTAGAACTCAACTGCAGCTCTTCAAATCACACTTGGGTCAGTACTTAAAGGTCTTGCACATCCCCTTCAAGGAAGATGCCAAATCTAACTGTTTGCCATTTTTTTCATGGCCTCTCACGGTGTCGTTCTCTTTCCCTCTCTCTATCTCCTTGCACTAAAATGGAGTTCATGCCTTAGAATAATGAGCTTATCGTTATTCTTGTAAGCCAGCTCAAATACCCTGCCCTACATAGTCCCCGCATCCCAACAGAATGTTTCCCTGAGTTTGCCGGGCTGATCCCTGACTCCAAGAACACCTACAGTTTGCTCATGGCTCCATGGAAGCAAGCATTGGTCTCAATCACTTGCACCCAACCAATAGAACTATTGCTTATTGTTTACACAAAAGTCAAAGTTCAGAGCAAACAAGTTAGAAGTCCTCACTCCAAAGCATAAAACAGCAGAACTGTCAATGTTCCAAGTGTTGACGGTTAGGTGAAATATTGACTTACCACCATTTTCCCAGGCTTCACACAGCGTAGCGTCTTGGTGTGTCTCCACTAGTTTGCTACTTTGACCAAATCCTTTTCTCTTTCTGCAGGTGGGGAGGGAATTGAGTACTTTGAACCAATTAGGTTGGGTTGTCACTGACTGATTGACATATGTCCAATGGCACCCGATGGAAGGATAAGCTTGTCAGAGATCAAGCTCCTTCCTGTCTACAGTCGAGAGGTGTGCCACCCTTTTGAGGTCAGAAGGAGTGACTGGATGTCTGCAATACTTGTGGCACCTCTAGAGTTTAATATTTGATGGTGCATTGAGAATTTTTGGAAACATCCATTGCCTGAACAAACACCAACATGGTTACCCTACTGACCCAACAAAACCAAACAAGTGAATGAGCAAGATGAAGGTGGGAGCAAGTGTCTCTTTGAGTCACAGTGTCCTACATTTTTCAGCTCCACTGTAACCTCTTGATTGCATATAAGTAGCTATGGTGGAGACGTAGCCATGACAGATGCACTGGTGCAATTTCACTTTCTGACTCTGACATGGAAGTGACCCTCTACCAGTGCCCTCCACTGCAAAGCTGCTGGGACTCCCTCTCCCTACTTCTACAGATAGAGGAAGGATCTGGGGAGCTCTCTCGCTCCTGTGCAAAGAGGCTTATCCAGTTGAGCTTATTGTGACCCTGACAACATCAGAGCTTTTAGGGGAGGGGCCAGAGAATATCTTACGTGGTAGAAGAAAAAGGAGGAAGCGGAAGGACAGGTACTTCACGAATAGCAAAGATATCATTCCATATCCCTTCCTGGTATCCTAATGATAATGAGCACCATGACACCAAAAGAAGAGAACATTTTAACTTTTGCTGAAACACTCTAACGTAAGCAACTGCCGATCAATGAGAAATTCAAAGAGTCCAGTTGTGTTTTCAGACATCCAGCCTTCTGTATTCTCACTCATTTCAAACTGACCTGGCTCTTCCCACTTGCACATCAGAACAGAAGCGCCACACCACATTATGGATACACTCTCAGAAAATATTTTTCAAAAATCGTACCTTTAGGGGTACAACAGCTTGTCACTGGGATAGTACCCTTAAATTAATATATTTTACCCCTAAAAATTTTCATAGTAGTACCTTACCAGTACATATTACTACCCTAAGGTACTCACCTTTTAGGGGTATATAAGGTACAAAGTGTACCCTTTAAGGGTACCGCCCCAGTGACAAGCTGTTGTATTCCTAAAGGTACAATTTTTTCTAGTAGTGTAGGACAAGACACAGATATCATTCTGTAATGTATTTGGTGTGCTCAAAAGTGAATCTAAGCCAGGGGTGTCCAGTCCTGTTTCTGGAGGGCCAACGTCCTGAAGATTTTAACTCCAAATAGCTCCAACACACTTTCTTAGAAGTTTCTAGTGAGTTTGAAGACCTTGATTAGCTGGTGCGGGTATGTTTAATTAGGGTTGGAGCTAAACTATGCAGGATGGTGGAATAGGTTTGGCTACCCCAGATTTAAGCACCTTACAGTCAAAAGTTCACTTGAAGAATTAAAAAAGCATCAATGGCACGTCCGATGTGCAACCCCCTTCACACATCTCTATGTGTTAAACTCTACATCTGAGCTTTCTCGTGCATAAGGGTTCTTACTTAAAATGCATTTTGTACATGCTAAGACACTAATTGCAATTATTTTGTGTAGTAAACAACATGCCACAGATATTAGGTTGAAAATAACCTGGAATTTTCCTGTACGCCAGGTGTTTTTAAAGGGGTCATGAACTGCCTTTTTATTATTTTGTACTGTTTTCTGAGGTAATCTTATGATGTAATACATTTTTGACATCAAAAAACATCTTAATTTAGAAGTAATAGGCTATTTTCTGTCCTGTTTTGAACCCCCTCATCGGAACGCTCTGTTTGCATAGGCGTGGCGGATTGTAGACTCGGAAGTAAACGCCCACTGCTATGATTGGCTAACAGTTGTGTATGTATGACAGCCTACAGCCTTCATAGATGGATGCTGCTGTGATTTAAGTTAAAAACACATAAATACTCATATCATAAATACTACATATCAAACTATCTGTAATAACAGGCAAAGCAATAGTGATCACATAATAAAAACAGTTACTCACACTTGTGTGGTGCGACATTACTGTAGGATCCAATACAGTCGGCACAGCATCGTCTTTTAGTTTCAATCTTTCTGAAAATCCTGCGTAAAATTGTGCCTTGTTTGTAGGTTTGTGATTACGCGGTAAAATTAAGTGAACAAAAGAACAAGTTCTTACTGACGCGATCTGGAACTTCATTAAAAATAAAGTTCATCCACTCTTTCCTAATGTTGGGATCAGAAGGAAGCTGAAGTAAAGACTGTGTTTGTCCACATCTTGGCACTGCACAGCGTCTTGTTGTCTTTGGATAATTTTTATCATTTGGTTTCTGTGTAGACCTGCGTTTGCCTCTCTTGTTATTTACACTGCATGCGTGAATTGGTGGGCGGAGTTAAACAGGTAGTGATGTAGAAGCAGACATTTATCTACTTCTGCGGAGGCGGGGTTTAGCCACACTATTACGTCATAGAGTGGCACATTCCACAAGCTGTCGTTTTGGCAGATCAGCTTCAATATAAGTTGTTTTTAGACTAAAGAGAAAGTTTTGAGTTGTGAAATAGAGGTCTGCATTCCCAAATAAAACGTGGTAGCGTTTGGTAACTCTGGAGTAATTTGAACGGGAGCGGGCGGTCTAAAAATATCCCGTTCCCGACATCCATTTAGAACAGCATATCTGCGCTTTATTCTTATTGACCACCGGTACAGCTTGTGCTCAGGACTGTTATATTTTGCTTAGCCTATAATTTTAAATGAAAGATGTCGTATTTATTTATTTTTCTCTGTGACACTTTCCTACTGTGTTAACAGAAAAATGTCAAACGAATTTAGTATTTTGACAAGATGAATAAAAATAGCTAATAGGCTATTTTTGTACAACCTACATTTTAATTGTTTTTCTCTCTGCGACACTTTTTCCCTATTGTGTTGTCAATGTTAAACGAATTGTATCCTGACAAGACGAATAAAAATAATAAATACAATTTTTGTACAACATTTTTATTTTCTCTGACACTTTTTGTCCTACTGTGTTGCATAAAATATTAAAAGAATTCTTATAAATTCAAGTCAAAGTCAATAAAGTCAAGACTCTTGACAAGACGAATAAAATAACATACAATTTTGTGCAGATTACACTTTTTTTTGTCAGCCTATCTCTCTTTCTTTCAGTAGCGCAAATTTAAATGTGAGATTCTGGAAACGAGGGGCCCTATCATACACCCGTCGCAATGAGGCGCAAGTGTTTTTGCTAGTTTCAGCCCGACGCAGTTCTCATTTTCCCGTCCTGCGCTGCGTTGTTTAAATATCAAATGCATTTGCGCCCATTTGTGCCATGCGCTTAGATCGTTAAAATAGGGCCCGGGATCTAAATTTAGCGGGAACGGTTGGGTCGGGAAGAAAATTATTCTAAGTGGACAGCGGGTGAACAAAGAATAGTCATATAGCGGGAGCGGGTGGGTGCAGAATAGAACCTTGCGGGAGACTGAAAAAACAGTCCCGTGCAGACCTCTATTCTGAAACTTACAGGATGTTTTTATAATACAATGACCTCTTATATGTCAAAAGAATTTTGATTTCTCAGTTCATGACCCCTTTAAGTGCTGCCCATTTTGAATATCTCTCTTTTTTGACAGATCCAGTTCAGGCCATGGAGTACTCTACCATTCAGGTGTGTTAAATAAAAAAGACATTTAAAATGTGCAGAGCTTGGGAGATTCGGTTTGAAAATCCTGGCTGTACAACTAATGAAGAAACATTGGCATGGCTGAAAAAGGCAATTTGATGATACATTTTTAATTCTCTGACATCTTAAAGATGCTAAGAATCATTTTAGCTATAATACATGTCAAGACTTTTCCAGCACGGACATCTTTTCCAACCAACAAGTTCATCCATAGGTCTTTCAAAGACCTACCGAGCATAACATCATCAGGTCAGTTGAGGTCATAGTAATATACTCATTTTAAATGTCCAACAGCAAAACCTATAGAAATTCATTTTCTAACAGGATAACAGGAATCAATTTAACAGTGAATAACAATGTATGACCTGTGTCCCCATTCACATTCTAGCATCTTCAGCCCGGCTTGCATTACATAATTAAACCTGCCTGAATAATGAAACACCCTCCATGGTTTAAAACCCTGGTCATGTGACTCACACAAGTAATTGCCAGGATCACTGGATTCTCCTTTGTCTTAAGTGCAGTTTTAAACTGAATTTAGAGGTGAACGGTCACAGAATAAATGACATGTTACAACTGATCTCAAGAACCCCAAAGCACAGAGACTAAAACTAAAACAGAATTACAAAGAGAACTGGCACTTTTACTGAATCTGAGATCAAAGTAACAACCTTGCAAGTCTTTGAACTTCATCTTCTCATCTTTTGACGTCTCATCTGATTGTGTTGAGAATATTAACTCAGGTATTACTGTTACAAGCAGAAATTTTACAATCACAATGGTTAATGGTTAATATTCAACAGTGGGCTTTTAACAACGATTAATTCTATAATGCAGTTGGCATCAAACAGAACTGAAAAAAAATGCAACAATTCTTCAACAAATGTTATCACTATGCTCTCTTAATTAAAAGAGCCTCTCCAAATCTATATTTAAGGCAGACTCAGTAACATCACATCATAACCCACAGCATCATAACTCTAACCTGGGGGTGTCAAACTCAGTTCCTGGAGGGCCACAGCCCTGCAGAGTTTAGCTTCAACCCTAATTAAACACACATGATCCAGCTAATCAAGTCCTTCAGGCATATTTGAAAACTACATGGTATGTGTGTTGGAGCAGGGTTGGGTGAACTATCCTTTAAGAGGGAGAATTGAGAAGAACCAATAAAGAGTAACCAAAGTCATCTAGGACATGGGTCTCCAACCCTGCTCCTGGAGAGCTACCTTCCTGCAGAGTTCAGCTACAACCCCAATCAAACACCTGAACCAGCTAATCAAGGTGTTCAGGGTTACTGAAAAATCACAGGCAGTTGTGTTGAAGCAGGGTTGGAGCTGAAGTCTGCAGAAAGGTAGCACTCCAGGATCAGGGTTGGAGACCCCTGATCTAGGATGTCAAACCACAAGATTCATCTGGCTGGTGTTTATAAAGTGCACAAAGGCTGCATCCAAAACAGCATACTTCCCTACTATATAGTAGATGAATAACAGTATTAAAAAATAGTAGTATGTGCAAATTCACAAAACAGTGGATGCACATTCCCCAGATGACCTAATGCTTCCGGCGAGATTCTGAAGCGTGTATATGATGGACACTTTACTATGCCGTGAGGCCACAGGAGGTGATGCTGGTGGTAGGTCACATGACAATGACAACATGCCGAGTGGATTATAGTCATACTACACAAATTCATACTATATAGAACATACTTTTTAACAGTCGCAAAGTAGTTACTTTTTTGAAAAAGGAGTATGCAATTTCGGATTGAGTAAGTAATGATTATGTTTATGTTTCACTGGCTCTAAATAATCCATACAACAGCACTGAAGTTTCTGCTGTCCCCACCAGCTCTGGAGCAACATGGTGGTTACCATGAAGGCACAGCTCTTTCTAGGAATCTGATATGACTGGAGTCACATCGGAGATTCCAAAAACGTTTAATGTAACTTTTCTACCTAAAACACTGCAACTTTTATCAATCAGCAATTCAATAATTTAATTCACAGTCAGCAGTTTACCTTTTTCGCTGATGGACTCGCTCTCCAGCTCCACATCCTCACAGCTGGTGTACTCTGGCGTGGTGGCCAACTCCTCCTCTGAGCTGCTGAAGCTGCCCATGGTTCTGAGCTTACCAAGGCGTTTGCTGCGGTGTGGTCGAGGTGGAGGAGGCTGAACCGACTCGGATTGGTCTGAGCTTAGAGAGTCGTTTCGTAGCATGCTATCCATTTTGTCCTGTTTGTTCCTGCGCATAGCTGAGCTAGGGTCCAAGTGGTGCTGTTGGGGTATGGGTTTCCTCGTTGGCTCTGCCAGTCCTCGGCGGCTATCACCCAGCACAGGGCTGCGGTGTGGTGTTGGTGGGCTATGATTCGACATCCGACGTCCCGGTGAGCTCCTGTCCATGGAGTACGAGCGTTGACTTGGGCCTCCCAACAGAGGGAGGCGTGACTGCCGCCCACCGGGGCCATGCAGAGGCTCGTCCAGTTCTGTATAGGCAAGTGAGACGTCGCTATGGCGCCGCTCGTGCCGAGCCCGTGACACCTGGGCATGGATGCGCATCTGCTCCTCGTAGGGCTGGGGTTTGACTAATATTTTTTTTTATTTCAGTCAGTTGCCAAAGCAACATCTCTTATTTCAATTGAGCTTAAACTTCATGTACTAAAGTAACTAAAACTAAAATTGAAATAAAAAATTACATTTAAAAAAATAATTTAATTTAATTCAAAATAAATGTAACATTTTAACTAAAATTGAAATTAAAAATGACTAAAAAAGAGACTCATCTCTCATTTCAATTTAGTTTAACTTGATGTACTAAAAAACTGAAACTAAAACTGAAATAAAATTTAATAAAAACTTTAAAAACATTTTTTTTTTTAATTGTAACTACAATAGTATCTCAATTATACTAAAAACACTGTTCTATTGTTACTTTTCTAAGAGACTGGACCAGACTGGTGGATGAAAATATCCTATAGACCTACACAAATCTAAAAACCAATCTGCAACTCACTATAAAGCACTGAGAACCACGTAGAAACGCCATAACGACCACCTATAATACCGTAGCATTACAGTGCTGGATTTTGCATGGGCGAACATCTTATTTTTATTGACACGGGCAATACATCATTAAATGATTGTGCAGAGTCAGCAGCAGCACTACCGTATTGAGCTGCACCATATTCCAGCAGTAAATGATTGCTGAATATCTAAATGTAAATGTGACATCATCCATTCTGTCATCATATGCAATGCTGCAATGTTAAACAATGAAGTGATATTATTCCTTGATTTGTGCCTGTCATCTCTGTGCAAAGCACCATGAGATTCTCAAACAGAGCAGCCCGGCACACAGACAAAGCATAGCAGGAGAAACAAAACTCCAAGACAATACAACATGTTTGCCTTAAAATAAAGGCCATTTTGCTCACAGCTGAGACTAGACTTTGCACATAATGGCATTTTCTGTTTGCCATACGTCAGCTCACCCCACAAAATAACAAAATATTGCAATACACTACTGCAATGGACATGGAAGTAAAGATCCCAAACAATCATTTCTCATTTCCACTGAAATGGTGCTGGTGTTGAAGAAACAGGTATATACTACAATGTCACTACATATTTTAGCATCCAAAGTGATTTGATTCAACATATTTCTGCCATCAGTTATGTTCATTAAGTAGGCCATGAAGCTATTTAAATATACAACAATTTAAATTCATAGTAATAAATTCACAGATGATATCTGTAAATAAACACACAATTTACTTAAAGGGATATTTCACCCAAAAATGAAAATGTGATGTTTATCTGCTTACCCCCAGGGCATCCAAGGTGAATTTGTTTCTTCAGTAGAACACACACGGAGATTTTTAACTCAAACCGTTGAGGTCTGTCAGTCTTATAATGGAAGTGAATGGCAATCACGGCTTTGAGAGTCAAAAAAACATACACAAACAAAACCAAATTAAACCCTGCGGTTCGTGACGATACATTGATGTGTAAAGACACGAAACGATTGGTCTGTGCGAGAAACTGAACAGTATTTATATAGTTTTTTACCTCTGATGCACCGCAATGTCCGAACTGTCCTGAGCGCGTCCTCGACAGCCGGCGTGTGACGCGTCTTCTTCTTCTTCTTGCTTTACGGCAGATCGGAGTATTATAAGTGCATTACTGCCACCTATCTATCAAATGGTCCATTTGAGAGATAGGTGGCGTTAATGCACTTTTGACTCTCAAAGCCGTGATTCCCATTCACTTCCATTATAAGACTGACAGACTTCAACGGTTTGAGTTTAAAATCTCCGTTTGTGTTCTACTGAAGAAACAAAGTCACCTACATCTTGGATACCCTGGGGATACCTTAAGCAGATCAACTTCAAATTTTCCTTTTTGGGTGAACTATCTCTTTAAAATGGGGAAAATAAATTCACTGGAGCAACTGTGCAGGGTTACAAAAAAGGATGGAGAGCAGTCAACTAAACTTGCTAGACACATTAGAACATGTAGATTAAAATACTAATGAATACAGAAGTAGTTTTGTACCGTCTATTTTTATTTGCCGTTTTGAGCTGTTAAAGCTGACATAGTTTTAAAAAGTTAATGGGAATCTGTAGAACTACATATATTTGACATATATGACATAAAATCAGCAAGTTGGTGAATTTCCTGAACACATGCTTGTCTGTAAGAGCAAAAAAAAAGTACTGTAAAAAGTACCTATGGAAATAAAATAAATAAAATATATAATATTTAAAAATAAAACATAACCACAAAAGAAGATTTTCTTCTATTCAAATGTACTCTTGTTTTTGGTATGATCACACTATCGTTCAGGGGTTTGGGTTTAACTTTTTAAATGTTTTTGACTGAAGTCACTTCTGCTCACCATTGGCTGCATTTATTTAGGCTAAATAAAAAAAATACTGTAAAAACAGTAATATTGTGAAATATTATTACAATTTAAAGTAACTGTTTTCTATTTGAATATATTTTCAAATGTAATTTATTTCTGTGATCAAAGCTGAATTTTCAGCATCATTACTCCAGTCTTCAGTGTCACATGATCCTTCAGAAATCATTCCAACATGATGATTTGCAGCTCAAGAAACATTTCTGATTATTAGCAATTTTGAAAACAACCGTGCTGCTTCAAATTTTTGTGAAAACCAAGATACATTTTTTTTTCTGCATACTTTAATACCATTAATTTGAAAGAGAAATGTAACATTATAAATGTCTTTACTGCCACTTTTGATCACTTTAGTGCATCCTTGCCGAATAAAGTACTAATCTTTTTCTAATCGTACAGTAAAAGTATTCATCTAATTCTTCCAATCTTACAGACCCCAAACTTTTGAACAGTAGTGTATATTACAATAACAAGTATATTATATAGTAATATGTCACATATTCACATTCAGGACATTGACATATTGCATAGAAAGGGACTCAAACCTATAACGATGCTCAAAACAGCATCATAATGGGACAAAAAGAGGAGTGATATACCAACAGCATGTCATCACAAGATGCAAACAGCCCTAAACCTTAAGCATGATAATCTTTCCCAACTGTACGGTCAGTTCTGTGCAGGCATTACTCAGGCGTTATAATTACTCCTCAAGGAACATCTGCACGCCTGTCACAAAACCGTCAACTAAGCAGCATTCAGTGAGAGGCATTCAACTGTCACACGAATGCTGCACCGGCAAAAAAACAAAAAAACAAAACAATCCTCCACGGCTGAGTGCGTCACGCGTGCACGCACCTGTCACTCAAGAGCTGCACATCTGGGCTGCGGGCGCAAGCATGTCGACCACGCGGCTGCATCAACCTCAAATCCCCGTTTGAGCGCTGAACTGCACCACACACCGCTGAAGGGGCAGAAGAGGTCCAGCCGGGGGGAAACCAGGTCACGGCAACAGGAAACACATGCACTAGTCGTGTAGAACAGCAGCTGCTAGCTTAGCGCATCCCCTCCCCCCCCCCCCCCGCATCATCTGCCCTCCCGG